TTTTTACAAATTATTTCTATCGCAAATACAAATAAAGTTATAATCTTTTTAAAGTGCACACGAACTTTATGGACAGTCTGTATATCATTGGCAGACAGTACCGTTTCGCTGAATCACAGCTCTTCAGTGCGACTAGACAACCGAATGTCCCAAGCTCGTATTGAAATACAACTGATTTGGTGCCAGTCAGAGTCTCTACCACTGAGCTATCTTCACTCGACAGAATGAGTCAGTCAAATCTAGCGTATTAGAAATGTAAACGAACGCCAAAAAACCGAAGTGATCCATTCATTTTACTGAAGAGCTTCGCATTATTGCAGGTGGCTGTTGTTTTTGAATTAGCTTGTCATACAAACAGTGCTCAATTGAAAAAATTTTCAAGAAAAAATCTCTCTCTCTCTCTCTCTCTCTCTCTATATATATATATATATATATATATATATATATATATATATATATATATATATATAAAATTTTCTCCGATTTAAATCAGTAGAAGACAATATTTATGAATAAATTTTTTGATTTTAAAAATGCTACATATTCATAAAAAAAGAAAATAACTCACTCAGAAGGAAAATTCTGGAGAGTGCCGCCATAGAAAATTATCCAAATATTAATTTACGCCCAGGCTTTTTTTCCCTATTTCACCTTTCTTAACAAAATTAATGCTCTTACAAACAAATATGCACAACAGATTCATAAAATCGAAAGAAAATGGTTGAATACATCAACACAGATATAATGACAATATTCTCCACACGTGACAATCTCTGACGTCATTTTTCATAAAAAAAAATATGAAAATAGCGTTTCTCTACATTCCAGTTGCTAGGTACATTCTGTTTTTTTTTATTAGTTACTTTGTTCATTTAATTTCATTTTCGTATTTTGCTTTGATAAAGTCCACATTGGACGAAACGCGTCAGCAATTACCAGTTTTCCTATTGTCATTTTTATTCATAAATATATATATATATATATATATGCACAATGCAATCGTCTGGTTCCACTCATTATTTTTTTATTTGCTAACGAATATAATTGGATTAACTTATGTATTTTTGTATGCATTTAACATTTAATTGCCATAGCATAACATACAACATTGCAAATAAACACATATTTAAAAAACATGCATATACAATTTGAAACTTACATCAAAAAAAGAATATATAGAATATATATATATATATATATATATATATATATATATATATATTGTGTGTGTGTTTATTTAGGCAGCATCTTTTTCATTCATATGTTGTAATTGACATCTTTGATAAAATAAATGTATGCAAGCTAAAAGCTTAGATTTTTTAAAAAAAATATGGATTCAATATTGTGAATTTTTTTCTTCGTTCAACGATAATGTTATTAAACTTATGAGACGTTACGAAAAAAATTTACATAAAATAGACAACACTTGTCTATATTATTTAATGAAACGTGTTATATATATATATATATATATATATATATATATATATATATATATATATATATATATGTGTGTGTGTGTGTGTGTGTGTATAAAAATTGTATATAAATATAAATAAATATATATATGTATAATTATTTATATATTATTCAAGTTTACTTATGAAAGCGCTCAATATCAGAGATATGAGCTCTTATATCTATCCAACTATATATATATATATATATATATATATATATATATATATATATATATATATATATATATATAAAAAAAAAGAACGTGGAATATTTAGCATAATTATAGCATAAATATTTCGGATTAAGGAACCGGAGGGCCGAGTTCGAATTTTAGTCATATCCATTACATTCACTCACGTGCTAATACCCTTGGGAAAGGTATGAATCCTTTTCTTCTCCCACTAGCTATGGGTAAATAGCAGGACATATCCGGTTCTATAGCCTTGGATGGCAACTGGTCTACCGCAGAAGGAAATGGCAACCTACTGCTGGAAAAAATCTGCTTCGTCAGTCATGTATCGAAAGATACATGATCGTCTAAGCGTGTATAAATCATGGCACATAACTTACTTATAGCATAGATATACATGTATTGTGTTTTGTTTTGTTTTTTAACAAAATAAATGTAAGTTGAAATTTTACAGACGTCAAAGATCTTGAAGATTCTTGATTGTCCATTCTGCACACTGATTTCTTTTTGGAATTTCCAGTTTCGATGATTCTGGATTCCAAATCTTTTTCACGGAACTTAATACTTTTTGTGAGCCTGTAAGCTGCTACGTAGCTTCTGATAATTGTCTGCATTGTAGATTTAATCAGCCCGCCCATCTGCAAGAAATGAATCTACAAATTTCTAGTAGCGAGTCTCTTTTCTTTCGCAGAAGAATAAATGCCACAAGAGCTAGTATTGCACTAGAATTCCATCTTAACATTACTTTAAGTTAGGAATTTTTCGAAACTTCACTTGAGAAAATCTAGTTTCTTCAAAAAAGCGCAAAACTCGAGTTAAGTGAAATGGAAATTTCATATCATCAAGCCATTCTGCTGCTCCAATAATCTCTTCTTTACCATTCTTGAAATTCTTCTTGAGTTATTCATAGCTATTTACAACTTCACAGATATTTGATGTTGGGTGTTGTCTCCTTCAAGTTTGTCATCCATGACTACACGAAGTAATCGGCCAAGAACATGTTAGCAGACAACGAATTGTGGTTCTTCCAGGTTTCTTTTGAAGCAAATAGTCTTTGCAACTAAATGACAATGCCATTCCCATTGCCAGTGTTCACATTCATAGCGTCTGCAACAATCAGCTTCATACGAATTTTTTCCTTTTTACAGACGTCAAAGATCTTGAAGATTCTTGATTGTCCATTCGGCACACCGATTTGTTCTGGGAATTTCCAGTCTCGATGGTTCGGAATTCCAAAACTTTTTCACAGAACTTAATACTTTTTGTCAGCCTGTAAGCTGCTTACATAGCTTCTGATAATTGTCTGCATTGTAGATTTGGTCAGTCCACCCATTTGTAAGAGATGAATCTACAAATTTTCAGTAGCGAGTCTCTTTTCTTTGGTAGAAAAATAAATGCCACAAGAGCTGGTATTGCACTAGAATTCCATCTTCGATTACTTTTTCGAGACTTCACTTTAGAAAATCTTTTAGTTGCTTCGAAAAAGCGGATTGATCACTTTAAATAATTTATAACACAGGTTATATATATATATATATATATATATATATATATATATATATATATATATATAGTGTTAAATGTCAGAATTTCTGGTCCTTTTTTTTTTGTGGAAAAGCCTTTTTGGGCCGGCAGGTTTTTGTCTCTGTAAGTGCTCGATATCAACAGTTAGGATAGAGTGTTTATAGAATTATTTTGGAGAAGTTTATCACTTAGCTGAGTGCGGTTGGTTAAGTCATGCCTACTACGTGGTTTTGTCAACACGTCAAGATAACATGTTCATTTATCAGGACTTTTTCTATCTCTCTCTCTCTCTCTCTCACACACACACACACACACACACACATATATATACATATATATATATATATATATATATATATATAAAGAATGGTGCGTTTTTTACGGTTACCTTATACATCGTGTTTTGTTATTCATTTGCACTACAACAATAATAATTATATTATTATTATTATTATTATTATTATTATTATTATTATTATTATTATTATTTTATTTCCTTTTGTTCCTGATGTATATTCATTTCTTTCCGGATCCCGACCAGAGACTTAAGGTCAGAAATGGCATCATGACATTTTCCACTGAGCAGTTTTGAAAAAAAAATCACTCATATTTTACATAGTTAAGGCCCTTTGTAAGGTGTTGGCTATACTTGTGAGAACAATTTTTCTTTTGTATTTCTTTAAGGCATGGGCTACCAGGAATCCCTTCAATGAGTTTATTGGAAACTTTTCCAATCAATCCGAGGGCTCCAACTACCACTGGAATTGTTAAAGTTCTCATGCACCACATTTTATTTAGACTTCAATTTCAAGGTCCCTGTATTTTGATAGATTTTCGAAGATCTTCAAAGATACATTGCAGTCTGAAAGGACTGCTGTATCAATAAGGAGGCATTTATTGTCTTTGCAGTCTCTAATCCCGGTGTCTGGGCGATTAACTTTGATTTAACTGTATGTATTGTAAAGTTCCATAAAATTGTTACAGGCCCTATCTCCCTAACTGGTTCTGGGTGGTGTTCATACCAATTTCTTGCAGTTTTCTTGCCAGCTTTTATATTCAGCGGGTGCCAATACCGCGCAACCTGATACAAAATGGTCAGTTATTATTATTATTATTATTATTATTATTATTATTATTATTATTATTAAATTCCATCAAATATTTTATTGTAGAACAACTGAATACCTTTGTGCAGTCTGTATAGGAAAACTACTGAAAGTATGCAACATATTATCAATGGCTACACTCAGCTGGCTCAAAAAGAGTTTAGGCGACACCATGACACAGCAGGCTTTCGAATACAGTGGGAACTATCTAGCATGGAGTGCGTAGAGAAGGGTGTAAGAGCTTTCACTACTGTCAGTAGCAACGAAAGCTTTTGGTTGACAAGTGTTTGGACAGAAATCGCCCTGAATTCACACTTGTATCCGGCAGCGGCCATGTGTGTATCCTGATAGACTGATAGATGGCGTATGTTGGAATAGGAGCATCACTGTTGGAATTTTTGGTTACCGCAGTACTAGTGAGCCAGCCAAAATGAGCTGACTCATTTTATAGTTTACCAATAGAAATGTTAACCAATCAGAAGGCTCAAAATATTCAATGCTACGTGCATAAAGGCGGCCATGTTTTTTTCCGAATATTCACTGACGGACAGCCTTTGATATCGAACTCTGAAGAATTACGGAGCAACTGCTGGTGGTATTGGCGATATAGTCAGATTCAGTAGAGTGTCTGACTCGTGAGTGTTAATCTTTAGCGTTGTTTCATTGAACAGATTACGTACTGCGCTGTATTCTATATTCATAGACTATGGTAAACATTGTTAACGATCACGAGAGCGGGTCAGTCGAAAATACTGAGATAGATAGATAGATAGATAGATAGATAGATAGATAGATCTGAAGTTAAGCAACGTCGAGTCTTGTCATTATCTAGATGGTTGACCGCTTGCGAATACCAGGCCGTGTAAGCTGGGTTGTGTGGGTGGTGTAATGGAAAACAGCCCGGAATTGTTAATCAGTGAGCCAAGTCTCAATTCCCTTCGAATTCGTTATATTCATTTACACGAAAATAACTTTGGGAAACATAAGAATGTTTCTCCCCAAAACTATGGGTTAATTAGTAAGAATTGCATCAATAAACTGTTATTCGTGCTGACAAAATTCTTATAATCTAAAAAGATATCTTCTGGCTTTAAATAACCTGCAAAGGGTTGATAAGCCGTAGAAAACGAACCAATCGATCAAATACTGATTAGCTGCACTGGCATGTCTTTTAAATTTTTTTTTAAATTTTTTTTTTACATTCTCTGGAATAAAAATGTGCAGAAACTACGATGGCACAAATTAAGGGATCAGTTTACATATTGATTGTAATAGTGAATTGATCCCCCACTTTATATCCACATAATAATTTCTTTGTTGTTTAACAAATTATGAATAGCCATCAATCCACCTCTTCTCTCCCCAGCTATGGGTTAATTAGCAACACTTGTATCAGTAAAATATTTATTATCTAAAAAAAAAAATCTTACGATCTAAAATCTATTTTCTGGCTTTAAATAACCTGCAAAGGGTTGATAAACCGTAGAAAACGAATCAATCAATTTATTCACATTCTCAAGAAATTCAAAGTATAGGAACAAACGTGGCCATAAAGTGAGGGTTCCGTTTATATACTGATTGTAATATAGAACTGACCCCCAACTTTATAGCCGAATTATTATTTTTTAAATTTTCTGCCAAACGTTGAGAAGCCGTAGAAAATGAAGCAATCAGTCAATGAAATACTGATTGGCTACACTGGCGGGTCTTTTAACTTTCTCTAAAATATAAATGTGCAGAAATTACGGTGGCCACAAAGTGAGTGATCAGTTTACATATTGATTGTAATATAAAATGGATCCCTCTCTTTATATCCACATTATAATTTTATAAATAACGGGCAAAGGGTTGATAAGTCAGAAAAAAACGAATTGCCTTAACTCTATCAAATATCTTTGGTGATTCTTCAAATGTCGCTTTTATGCGAGCGGACAGCAATTTTCATCCAAAAAATTAAACTTGAGAAGCCATATTAACTCTGGGTGAATCCATCCGGAAGACATGTTGAATTTCGCTTATCAACAGGAAGCAGCTTGACGCCATTAGAAGAAAAAAAGAAAGAAAGAAATGAAGTCTGCAAATATTATTGATTTTTCTATTTGTTGTTTGACCAAAGTTTGCTTTGTATTTCGTTCAAGCATTTCCTTCAATAATTTCAAATAGATACTTGGGAGATTGAAGCATATAGACTAAACGTACGCCTATATCGGTGTAAATAAAAAACGATGTAATATGATAGATAGATAGATAGATAGATAGATAGATAGATAGATAGATAGATAGATAGATAAATGTGAACTGAGAATGAGATAGATATGAATAGATAGATAGATATGAATAAATGTTGAGATAGATAGATAGATAGATAGATAGATAGAAAGATAGATAGATAGAAAATGACCAGAGGTTGAAATAAATAGATTTTCTTCATACAATATTTCATCCTATATAAGGCACAAGAGCCCCTCAAAGTAGTGGATTACTGTTAAAATGTTTACGATGAAGGGGCTCTGACAAATAGATAGATAGAGAGAGAGAGAGAGAGAGAGAGAGAGATGAACAGAGGTGTATTTACATAGATAGATATGAATAAATGTAGAGATAGATAGATAGATAGATAGATAGATAGATAGATAGATAGATAGATAGATAGATAGATATGAACTCAGACTGAAATAAATCAATTTTTCTTTATGCCAAAGTTCATCCATTATAAGCCTCGAGGGCCACTGAAAGTCGGGTATTACTGTTAAAATAGTTATGATGACGGACATGTAGCATAGATAGATAGATAGATAATGAACAGACTGAAATAAATAGATAGATAGATAGATAGATAGATAGATAGATAGATAGATAGATTGCAGTTAAAGTCTAATTATATTTTAGCTAACAACTACTCCTTCTGTTTACACAAGGATGGCTGGCTGGGCTTAATATAAATAAACTCTAAAAACTTTCAGATGAAAATCTGAAAATCTTTTTTTTTTATTTGGATATTACTACTTTACGCTTATGTATTTTTTCTGTTCCTACTTTTTCTTCTTTTCTCTTTTTGCTTCAAGTTATCCGTTTTCCCCGCTCTGATTATATTTCATATGTCTGCTGAAATATTTAAAAGTATAATTGTGGCATCTATACATCTTCTTGTGTCTGTTTTCGTAAGCGATAAACTTTCCGGAATATTCAGCCGGATCCTGTCTTCAATTTTCTAGAGCAGATTGCTAATTAGACAATAATTAAAGCGAATAACAAGTTAAACAAGTAATAAGCAAAATAGACCACCGCATCTGAAGGCATCTTAGAAACAAATTAATTCAGGCGTGAATACGTTTTTTGGGGTTTTTTTTTATTCGTTCTGGCATTGATGGTGAAAGAAAACAATAGAAAAATGCCCTCCTATTATATTTTTATTATTATTATTTTAACGAAAGTAAAAATTATTTTTAAAACTTTTAACCGTTATGAACTTTCGACACAACCATTATAAAAGTTGATTTCCGCTTTATCTCTTGTTAAAATTTTGTGGGCGAAATATGACGATTTTGAAAGACTTTGTTCGTGTTGTTAATAAAATCTTAATGACAAACTATGGTTACCAAAATGTCATCGAAGAATTTGGCTTCCATTCCACCATATTTTACATATACATATATTTTTCCATGAGTCCATATTTTCATATTTTGGCCCATGGAATTCGTAATTTTATATTTGGCCCATGGAGTCTCATATTTAACATATTTGGTCCATGGAATATATTTCATATATTTGGCCCATGGAGTCTCGTATTTTACATATATTTTTGGCATATATTTGGTCTATGGAATCATATTTTTATATATTTAATTTTATATATTTGGCCCATGGAGTCTCATATTTTACATATATTTGGTCTATGGAATCTCATATTTTATATATTTATTTGGTCTCATATTTACATATATTTGGTCGAAATCTCATATTTTACATATATTTGGTCTATGGTATTTTACATATATTTGGTCTATGGAATCTCATATTTTAATATATTTGGCCCATGGAATTTTACATATATTTGGCCCATGGAGACTCGTATTTTACATATATTTCGTCCATGGAGTCATATTTTCATTTATTTTATTTTCCATATATTTGGCCCATGGAGTCTCATATATTTACATGGAGTCTCATATTTAAATATATTTGGCCCATGGAAGTAATTTAAAATATTTTACATATATTTTATTTTACCCATGGAGTCTCATATTTACATATATTTGGCCCATGGAATCTCGTATTTTACATATATTTGGCCCATGGAGTCTCATATTTTACATATATTTGGTCCATGGAATCTCATATTTTACATATATTTGGTCTATGGAGTCTCGTATTTTACATATATTTGGCCCATGGAGTCTCATATTTTCATAATTTTCTATGGAGTCAAATATTTATTTGGCCCCATTTATATATATTTGGTCTATGGATTATATTTTCATATATTTGGCCCATGGAGTCTCATATTTTACATATATTTGGCCCATAGAAAACGTATTTTTCTCATATTTTTATCATTTATTTGGTCCATGGAATCTCATATTTTACATATATTTGGTCATGGAATCTCATTTTACATATATATTTATTTTTAAATATATTTCGTCCATGGAGTCTCGTATTTGGATATATTTGAAAAATATTTTACATATATTTGGCCCATGGAGTCTCATATTTTACATATATTCATATTCTATGGATTTCTAATTTCGTATTTTACGTATATTTTTTATATATTTGGTCATGGAACATATTTTACATATATTTGGTCTATGGAGTTTATTTTACATATATTTGGTCATGGAATCATTTTAAAAATTTGGCCCATTTTATTTTACATATATTTGGTCTATGGAATCTCATATTTTACATATATTTGGCCCATGGAGACTCGTATTTTACATATATTTGGAATTTACATATATTCCATGGAGTCTCATATTTTACATATATTTTGGAATCTCATATTTTACATATATGGAAAGTCTCGTATTTACATATATTTGGTCAATTATACATATATTTGTCCATGGAATCTCATATTTTACATATAGTCTATGGATTTTATTTTACATATATTTGGTCCATGGAGTCTCATATTTTACATATATTTGGTCTATAATATCTCACATTAGATATATTTGGATATTGTTGGCCTATGATATCTCATCTATATCTATAATTCTCAAAATTTGTGTGTCTGTATGTGTGTTTGTGATCGGGTGTTGTTTATGCATTTCCACAATTTTCATTCGATTTCGATGAAAGTTTTTTTGTTTGATAGTGCCGGTCTTGAGTCCAAATTATTGGCGACAATGGCTCTCCACTATTTCCTGTCCATTATAACTCTCAGCAACGTTTTACTATTGAATGTTCTTGGATATATATCTTTCATAGAAACTTTAATAAAAATAAATAGTTTAAATTATTACAATAATATTATTTATTACTAGCAGCATTGCCCGGCGTTGCCTGTGCTTGATTCAGAAATCGTACGACTCATACAGCAATAGGTATCACTTGACTAAAATATTTTTGCCCTTCCTTGCCTTTAAAGGAGTGCCCTTTGCAGTGTTGATGTTGCTACATGCCTTACTTCTCACACTGCAAATTTTTTCTAAGCTCTATACTAAACATTAAATCTGTCACGAAAAAAGAACTAAACAAAATGAACACAAAACGATCAGCTGTAAAAAAGGACTCGTAACTGGAAAAACCGAATGAAAAAAGAATGTTAACAACAAATACTTTTTCACACCCAACCCAGTTCTGCGGAATCAGAATCATCGTTAAGTTTAAGCAAGCGAATGAGCCAATTGGAGTAAAGTGCTATGCAGATTTAAATTTTCCCACTTGTGACGAATGCAGCTATCGATTTTTTTGCATGCTAGCATGCTAGTTAACATTCGTGTCAGTCATCTGTTGGCTCTCACGCTGGCCAATAGAATCTTCCAGCCTATTCGTGGCAGCCAGCTATAGGCTCTCACTCTGGCCAGTAGAAAACTACATGAAAACTGCCGTAGAAGCATGAAAAAATCGATTATTTCCACTATCGGCAGAGTCGGTTTTGGCCTTCCCTCTAACTTGGAGCATGTGCATGTAAATTTTGGTACAAATCCGTCGAAAATTGCGGCCGTGCATTCACACACACACACACACACACACACACACACACACACACACACACACACACACACACACACACACACATCCTGCCTTTTATAGAGATAGATATATACAGTAACAATTTTTAAAGGGCCACTCCCCCATTCAAATTTTAATTTTTTTTTTTGGATGGATTGCTTCATTTGCAACTAAATGTGGTAACTAATATTGATTTTCAGGTGAAAAATGACTTTAAAATTGAACTGCTCCAATTGAATGGCAAAATTCCAGTAATAAAATTCAGGCAAAGACGGGTTAGATCTGCTAGTATTTTAGATAAATAGTTAAATTTATATAATTAATTATATCTATATCTATAATTCTCAAAATGTGTTTGTGTGTGTGATCGGATGTTGTTTATGCATTTCCGCAGTTGTCATCCTATTTTGATGATTTTTTTTTTTTGCTTGATAGATAATTCTTCATTGCCGGTTTTGAGTCCAAATTGTTGGCGACAATGGCTCTCCACTACTTCCTGTCCATTATAACTCTCAACAACGTTTTACTATTTACTATCTGTTCTTGGATATATATATATATCTTTCATAAAAACTTTAATAAAAATAAATAGTTTAAATTATTGCAATAATATTATTTATTATTATACAATTCCCTTTACCGTGCCACTCCCCCCATTCAACTTGTTAACCCCCTCCCCTTTTGTGGATGTGCTTCAGTTGTAACTAAATGTGGTTACTAATATTGATTTTCGGGTGGGTTGTCTTTACACTTAAACTGCTCCAATTAAACGGTAAAAATTCCCAATAATGAAAGACCCGGGCAAAGACGGGTTATACTGCTAGTATTACACATATTTGGTTCAGGATATCTGATATTAGATATCTTTGGTCTATAATATCCCACATTACATATATTTGGATATATTTTGTTCCGGATATCTCGTTTTTTAAATCGATATCACCCCAAGTAAGGGTTTACAGGATGTGGAAGAATTAGGAACAGAAACATTAATGATGAGCAGTAAGAGATGAGAGTAATCAGAAGGACAGTAGACAGCGATCGGCATTGGATTTAAATTTTTGCAGATTAAAGTTGGCTGGAAAACATGGAGCTGGAATGGATTTCCACAAAGGAGTAATACAAAACGGTTAGCATAGAACATACGGCCATATCTAGCCAGCTCAACTGACAATTGATGAGATCTCGACGCCAGGCTAGTAATGCGCTTAAATTCAACAGCTCTTGGTACCATAGCGATGAGCTGATCCGAAAAGTTACCATGAATGTATTTATAAAAACAGAAAAGACAGGGAGACACCTTATGACGGCGGTGGGAAAGTAACTGAAGCCGAACCACCAGACCAGGACAAGTTCTTCTTTAGATCTTATCAAGGAGCTTAAGGTAAATAGCAGTTGCACCAGATCACATGTGGCAACAATATTGTAAGCATGGACGAATGGTAGACTTATAGATATGTAAGATAGATACTGGAGAGAAAAATTGTTTCACTTGACACAGTGAACCAACTTTCTTAAGACCTGACCTGACAATGGATTCAATATAGTCTTTCCACTTCATATCAGCAGAGAACGAATATTAGATATATTAGGATATATTTAGTCTAGAATGTCTCCTTTATGATAGGAGAAAATCAGTAAAAGTTTCCGTTATATATCTTCGTTATCTATCTATATTTCTGAGATGATGT